TACTAGAAACGAAAACTAACTACACTAATACTACTACCTTCCTACAACTACTACACTAATACTACTCTTCCTTCCTACGAAGTACGACGTACTACGTAGGTCGTAGATAAATAACTACTCTCTCTCTCTCTCTCTCTCTCTCTCTCCCCGATACGATTCAAAAACAATAATATATTGGCCTGGTTCTTAACACATTGATGGTAGTCGCTCTCTATCTCTCTATCGGTCTGGTTCTTAACAGGCTACACTAATGGTACAGTCACTCTCTATCTCTCTATCACACAAAAGCCCATTGATTCAATCCTCTTAATCGAATGGAATCGAACCCCTTTCTCATCAAAGAATGAGGTTTATATAGACATTTGGTAATGGATAATCACAAACTACAGTCTTCATTTTTCCGCTGCCCATGCATCTTCATCTTCATGATCTAATCTTCGAAATGATAAACACGGGAATTTGAATACACCATAGGTATTCCTTTATGATAATTACAAATTTAGTCAATGCTTATCTATCTGTTATTCAAATCAAGGGTGAGCATTACGTGAGACATTTAAGGAATGTGTTACTTCTTATCGAGTGTCTGTCATAATGTACTTAGTCTCTTATGTGACTAAAATAACACCCAACAAACTAATTTCATATGTGACTAAAATTACACCCAACAAAACTGCCCCGGGCATTGCACTTGTGGGATAATTCCAAAAATAGTCTCATATGTGATTAAAATTACACCCAACAAAACTGCCCCCGGGCATTGCACTTGGGAAAGAATCCCAAGGTATGGTGGTTTGGGTGAGTTACCGACATCATACATCTCTCTTTGTTATGGTCATGCATACATGCCTCAATCTTCTCAAATATTTCCTTTTATTCAAGGAGCTTTAACATTAACGGTAGGACTGCCAACCAAGCCACCATTTCTCAACACACCATTATCATTACCCTTCATTCCCAAGAAATAGTCTCTTTGGCTTCCCTGTGAGAGTCTATATATTCCCAACGGTTGTACGAACCCAATCGCACATCTCAACATGGGCTATCCATATCTCTAACCCTGACCTTACTGCCGCTGTCAAGAATAGTAGGGAGCATATTATAGATATCCCTCCGGCCATTACAGAGGAAGATAGTAGCCGGAAGATAAACCAAACAGGTTAAGGTCGCGAAGACTCCTAACTTCCAGCTTAAGAGAAGCAGCGGATGACGAACCAAATAGGTTACGGTCATAAAGACTCTTGACTGCTGGCTTATGAACCTCTTTCAATGAGAGGAAGATCCATACAGTTAAGCGCCGAAGCTGGTGAATCTAGTCCCCATAGGCCAAATGATTAGTAGAACAACGTATCCCTTGCACCTCATGAGTTCTAGAGGTCTGATTTCCACCGGCAGGGGATGCTAAGGGGGCCGCACGACACTGTGGGTGTCTGTTGATGTCATCAATGAAAGCTTCGTCAGTGTGCAACATGTTCCTGCACATTTTGCCGATGAATGGAACATTTCGTATTTTAAAATACTAAAAATTTAATGTCCGCCCTAAATCACTCTAAATACATATAATGCGTAATACGAGATAAATAATTTAACACTTCACTCCTTCCTTTTTAATTTAATTTCAAAATACCTTTATATTTTCTTGACAAAGTTCGATGATATCATGGCCTTTGAACAAGACTTCGTCTACGAAAACAACCAAACAAGGAAAGGGCAGCTGCCATAATACTTGACCAATTGCTTGTCCACTTTAAACAAGCAATTGACCCAAGTTTGAAGGAACAAATACCACCATTTTAACAGCAACAAAAAAAAAATCACATGGACGGATCCGATAAAAAACCAGCATTCGGTAGATTCAGAATAGTAGATTCGCTGATTTTTTTGAGGAACTGTCAATTCCGACGATTCTTCACTGAGTCCGACCGATTCTCACCAATTCCCATCGATTCTTCATCGAGTCAAGCAAAAAAACTAAAAAATAGAAAAGAAGAATAGTTTTTATTTAATTATTTTAAAAAAATTGATACAAAAATTACTAATTCTACCGATTCTTCCAATCCAATCCACTGATTCTACCGATCCGATATGGGTATGGGTATAACCGATTCGAGTCATTAATCCATTTTTTTAATCACGGCAATGAACTAAACTTGACATTCATTCTAAAAAAAATTTTCTTAAACGTGGGTCATTCTAAAAACTGAAATAACTTGTACTCTACGTTTACTCATGCATCCTAAACGGTGCCAACATCAAATAAGCAAGCTCGCGGACCCATTTCCAGTTAATCGGTTTTGTAGTGTAGATTAAGACATAAACCAATTTCTTTTAATGTTTTTTATTAATATTTTTTGATAGAGGTTGAGAGAGAAACCAATATTTTTGCCAACTTTTATTAATGTTTTATTTTTATTTTTTTGGTAATTAAATAACCTGTTTTTCAACCTACATATTCATCCCTCTGTTTGTGGGTTTTCGTTTTCTTCATGAACTCACAAACAAGTGATGGAGAGAGAGCAGCTGGATAATGCTGGTCATTAAGTGAGAGAGATTTGGGTGGGAGTCTTATTGGATATTATCGTGATTGTCCTTTAATCTTTTCAATCTGGAATTTATCATATAATTATCAGAATCTATTATATTGATATATTATTCATTGTAGAATCGATTTTATTGAGCTTAATAGATATGAATTCAAATTATATATAATTAAAAACGTAATTATATTACAACTTCTATAATAATAAAATTGACAATAATTTCTACTGTATATGAACTAAAAATCCACATGTTTGCATCAATTCATTGCACAGCACACACCAATTGCTTTGTTAAGATTTTAATTGCTACTTTTGTTTTCAAAAACTTTGTATCAGCATAAATACATAGAAAGAAAGCTATTCTAATGGAGAGAGATGGCTACTGTTCTCGACACTTGAATCTCTTCCTCATGTCATCAACAGGCCTGGTCTTCGTGTATATAGAACTGAGGGACCTGAACCGCCTCTTCGGCTTCGAAATCGCAGAAGGCTTCTTCCCCTCAACCACTGCTCCGCCATCCACTGAATAAGAAAGAGGAGGAGAAGAAGAATTCAAACCCCACCTATTCTTCTCTGCCTTCCCATCATCACTAAGCTGAACAAGTTGTTTTGCAGCTGCAATTTCATTCTCCGCCAAAGGCTTCAGCTTTTCTCGCTCTGTAAAACCAGTTTTTCTATAAAAAAAAAGCAACGAAGAGCACTTAGAGAGAGAAACATGGGCATTACATAGAGAATGAGAAAAAGCTTCGAAAAAGAAAACATGGGTTCTACGCCTGGGTTTTCTCGCTCTGTAAAACCAGTTCAAGACATCGGCTTTAGATCGAGAATGAAATACTGCTACACCGGATTTTCTCGCTCTGTAAAAACAGTATTTCTATACCGATTCGAATAAGAAAGAGAGAGAAACACAGGCTTTAGAAAGAGAATGAAAAAAAAAAAAAGCTTGGAAGGAGAAAGCATGGTTTTAAAGCTTCATGCTTTCTTCGAATTTTACTGTAAAACCGGTTGTTCTACAAAACAAAGAGAACAGCAAAGAAAACTCAGAGAGAAACATGAAATTTAGATAGATTGAGGAAGGTCTTAGAAAACCAGTGTTTATACAAAACAAAGAGAACAAGGAAAAGTTAGAGAGAGAAACATAAAATTTAGATAGAATGAGGAAGATCTTAGAAAGAGAAATCATGATTTTGAAGGGTCTAAAACATGGGTTTGAAGGGCTCACCTTTCTTGTTGTTGTATAACAATTGAAGGGTGTATCGCCATTAGAGCAGCAGGAAACCGAGGGATTTTGCTTGTCCCTCTAAATTTTCTCTCTCTGAGTCTTTCTAATGAATGAATTGGAGTAGAGCGGGTTTGGCGTATATTGAAAGGTTCTCTCTGAAGCAATTGCGAGGTGACTACCACGAATAAGGGACGAAAACGCGTTCCCCCCAAAAATCTATACATATATACACATATATGAGTACGGCTTCAATAGAGCCTACGCTCCAAACAATCAAATTAGAGCCTACCTTCGAATGGTTTCGAAAAATGTGATTTCAATACTGGAGATCTTTGTGATAGCTTTAAGATATATTTTCATATTTATTTATACAGTTTAAAGCTTTAAAAATAGGGTCAAACGACAGATCTATGAAAACTTGAAAATTGATAGTCCAAAAATGTGTTATAAAATATACTATTTCCAAAACTTGAAATCCGTTTTTTTTCTTATGTCCATGCATATTGATGTTGAGATGGTCAATTTGAGAATATTTGAACATCAAAATAACTTCTTCTAATGAAATTTTTGAGGTAGGCTCTAATTTAATTGTTCAGAGCCTCTGCTCTGTATAAACTTTTTCATATATATATATATATATATAAAGCTAACAATAGCTGTACAGCTATAATGAATAGTAATATAGGTGGAATATTAGCCGTCAGATCTTCATCACGTGGTTCAAATTACATATCACTATTTTAATTTAAAATTTTTTCTATAAATCTGATTAAGATAAAATTTTGGATGTATATACCTAACACTATTGCACACCATATAAAAATATAAAAAAATTTATTTTCAATAATTTAAAATGACCAAATTACCCCCATCATTTTTCAAGGGTATTTCGATCGTTTTAAATTTTTGAAAATATTTATATATATTTTTTAATTGTGCACCCTCTTTTTTAATACACACGTCTAAAATTTCATTATGATCCGATTTCTTGAAAAATATTAAAATTCATGTAGTTATATATATTCTGAACCACATAATGAAGATCAAATGGCTCCTATTTCGCCTATTTTACTATTTATTATAGCTGTCCAATTATTATAAGGTTTACTCATTTATACGAAAAATCTAACAATAGTTGGGCATCTATAATGAATAGTAAATAGGTGGAATTTCATCCGTTAGATCTTCATCAAGCAATTCAAAATACATATCACTATTTTAATTTTAATTTTTTTTTTATAAATCTTATTAAGATGAAATTTTGGATGTATATATCTAACACTATTGTGAACCATATAAAAATATAATAACATTATTTTAAATAATTTCAAATGACTAAATTACCCCCATCATTTTTCAAGGGTATTTAGATCATTTTATATTTAGAGAAATATTTTTTATATTTTTTTTAGTTGTGCGCACTATTTTTTGGTTCACACATCTAAAATTTCATTATGATTCAATTTTTAG